TACTGATAATCGAAAGAATGTATAAAAGAAAGCAATTTGGATAGCAAGAATATAATCAATAGAGGAACAAGTAAACCAAAGTATATTCAGATAGTGTTTCGTGTCCCTACAATTGATCAGTTATCTCCCTTTTATAGGTACCTTGGAGATATGCATTTTGCCTATATCATAATAAAGCTATTATGGGTAATTAAAGATATTAAATGCTACGTTACATAATCATTATATTTAATACAAATTCTCTAACATTTTTGGTATTTAAGACTCATCAAATACTGTATCTGGATTCTCGTGTGCTGTCAGATTCATTCTCTTTGACTCGTGGGCTTAAATGACTTGAACAGGTACGAGCTTTGCCTCTTTTTGAATAACTGCTCGTGCCTCTTCTTTTGCTTTCTGCTCGTATCTATTGCAACTCGTACCTCTTTGCCAGTTGTAATTCTTTGACTAGTCTATGTGTCACGACACGTCATCTTCATACCTCTTTAATATGTAAATTCAATTTTTCCAATACACTAGCATCACGACAATTCGAAATAACAAAATTCATAAGGGAATTATTTGGAGGAGGCGATAGTGGTTCAGTGGCTGGAGAGGTCTCCTGCTGGGCCATCGGAGTCACTGCTGCTACTGGAAGCAGTGTGGGGATGAGGACTAGTGCAAATTTGCCCACATCCGGATCGATCGTTGGTCGGAGTTTGATTAAGCATTTTTTTAGATTTGACGGGCAGTTGAGATAAATCTTTTTTTGAAATTGCTCCTTTATGACCAAGACTTGAACTTCCGTGAGGTCTACCAACTCTGTGCGAGACTCCCTTAGTTCTTTGGCTAAGGCTTCTATTTCCTGTTGGGTCATGCCTTCCTGAGGTGGTTGTGAGGGGGTCAGCACATCGAGGTCCAGTGGGCTGGTTGGAGACAGAGGAGGCATTTGCATGGGATTGTGAATTGCGGTGTGTTGGTGTATCCATGGGATTTGGTAGTGGGCCCGGTGTGGGAAGTGAGTAGAAGGGCATCTCCCCTTGTAAGATTAGTGTTGGTGGAACTGGG